TTTTTAAAATCCAATGTGTGGATCACATAATATTTCAAAAATTTTAACTTTTGAGTATAGATGATCCGCACTGTATTGATCACACACTTTACCATGATTATACGTTGGCTTTAGTTTTATGCTATCGTTTATTACTGTATCCTTCACATCATCCTTTCGTTGCAAATTCGATTTTTAATAATGATATATTGATCAATACATACATATATTATGCATACAGGAAATGAACAATAGAAACAATGTCAACATCAAAAATCAATTAAGAAGAACATCCCAAGATTTCATTAGCCGGGTATAGTTTTGAGCTAAAATCAATGCCTATAGTTAATTGCAAATAAGGGTTCTTCTATTCACTCAGTGTATGTTGACTAAAGATGGCCCTCAATTAATTGTGGTATATAAAAATGGAATTGCGATTCCCATCTTTAATGTTGGTCCTGCTTTTAGACTATATATACGATAAAAATATTAAGAATCTTATCAGTATGCCAATACCTTGATTATTTTTTAAAGAATATTGGTCTGATATCAGATTATGATATTTGCTGATATACACCATTATTCAATTTGGCATCATTCAACCAGTAAAAAAGAGAACGAATAGATTATATATAAGCAACAAGTTCCTCATTTTTAACAAAACATCGAAATTCCATTGAAGGTTCCATATTACACCATTTACGTACCACCAATTCAATTTCGAATTCATTTGGCCTTTGTCTTCTTAAGATTTCATCACTGTCACTATCTTCACCTTCTTCACCTTCTTCATTATTATCATGATTACAACCATCCAATGCATGATCAAGATCATATGCAATAAAATCAGATGAATTAAGTAAGAGAAAGATATCTGATGCTGAATTACATTTAAGTGTGATGAAATCCAAGTTGCATCCCATAAATAATATATATATATTATTGTTATGGGTGTTAATCTATATTGAGAAACATAGAAATATTTATTAAAGTTGCTACTACTCTTGGTGAACTCCAATTTAGTTTTGGAAAAATTGCACTGCCAAATTCTTCTATTATTATTCCTATTATTTGTTGTTCTAAATCAGGAAAACTTGGAATTGCTTGCAATATAAATAAATAAATAATATGTTAAAATATTTATTTATTCACTTTCTTTAAAATTCATATAAAATTCTCACATTTTCTCAATATTGTTGGCTTCTTCTTCATTACCATCTTCCTCCTCATCACTTAGTTCACTTCTTTCAAGATAACTGATAAATTTTTTAAATCAGTCACATTTACTTCGTCGAAAATTATTTCGTCGACAATCATTTCATTGACACCCATTTTGTCGAAATTTTGTTTCGTTGAATGTTCATTTTGTTGAAAATTATTTCATCCTTGAGCCAGAGACCGAACAAGTTAGATGTGAGGAGTGTGAGAAGTTAGTTAAGAAATTAGGTGAGGAAAGCGGAGTGTGTGTGAAGTGTGAGGAGAAATTTGTTTAATGAAGTTTTT